AGACACCGATTCTTCTCAACCGATCAAACCATTCCTTTATCGATCGAAATAGGAATTTACGTTGAGCTCGGCGCGATAAATCATTTATATATTTTTTTTTTATTACAAACAATAGTTTATTAAAACGAATGCTCATTTTATACAGTACGTATTCTCGATTTTTAACCGAAACCATATTCACACGAAGACACCGATTCTTCTCAACCGATCAAACCGTTCCTTTATCGATCGAAATAGAAATTTACGTTGAACTCGACGCGATAAATCATTTATATTTTTTTTAATTACAAACAATAGTTTATTAAAACGAATGCTCATTTTATTCCAACAGACATAGGTGCCATATATGTATATCCACAAGTTTTAAACCGAAATCGGGTCGCGCGATGACACCGATTCTACCTAAACGTACCATTTCTCTCTCTTCGCCGATTGATCGAAATAGGAGCTTACGTTGAGTCGAGTTGGATGCGATAATCGGGCAGGCGTTGCAAGCCTGGTCTGGCGCGAGCATCCTCCTCTTCCTCCCTCTCTCTCTCTCTCTCTCTCTTTCTCTCGCGGAGCGTAAAAATATTTTCACGTTCGGCGTCACGCATATTTTTAACATCGCGTCAGTCACACGCGAACGGTCGGCTTTCGGCTGCGCGACGTTAAATGCGACCCGGTGGATTACCACGTAAGGAATAACCGGGGGTATTGGATTCTGCTGCGCTCGGAGCGGAGCCGAGCCGAGAAATCGGCGGCTGATAAAGCGGTCCGCGGGCCGATCTCGGATTTCGTCTCGCGTAACGCTTCGTGCCGGGCGCGTCAAGTGGAAAACTGGAGTTAACCCTTTAGCTACGACAGTAAGAAAGGTGTACACATTGATCGAATCATTTACCTCGTTCGTTAACCATCGAACAGCCGAGGAGCAGCGAGCTGACGCCGGGTCACATTTGACCCATGGCTGAATTTTTACTACACTCGCTTTGCACTTAACTTTTTTTTGGTACAGGACGTTATCTAATAATGTTTACAATACGGGGAGGAGAAGAGTTTGTTTAAAAAAATGTAAAATTTTATAAACATAACACTTTTATTTATGTGCGCCGCGTACGTACAACGTTAATTCTGTTTTATTGCATGTTTTCTGGCACGTTTGGTACCATATTTATTATCATTGCCTATACATATTGTAGCATCTGGATCTTTTTTGCGATTCAAGTTCTGGGTCAACGGTGACCCGGTGTCGGCTAGGGTTAATCCATCTTGAAATGGAATCTTTTTTGGCGACAAGGGTCCAAAGTGCTTTCTTTTTTTTAAACAAACTTTAATTTTTCAAACGAAACTTTAATCTTTAATTTTGTAAGAGATCGACAGTTATATTAGTTATAGCTCGTCTGGTTTTATTCGTCGGTATTGTGCCTGTGACATTTTTCAGTATGAACGCAAGACAGTTACGAGTGTTCTTTGAACTACTAATCTCTTCTCTCGTCATTTTTTCTCAATTTCGTTTACAAGTATTGTAAGTTTATGACACGTTTCGTCGAGTTCACGCAAATGTGAAAACGAAAGATACACGTCGTTCTTTGATCACGTCGAATTTCATTTGATTCCTATGTCAAGGGCCACTCGTGCCGATCTAATCGTTCGTCCACGCTTATTCATATTATCCATCGCGAGTGATTCCGCTTTTGAATTTCTTTCGTGTCCTCGATCGAAACGATCGACAGATCGAACTTGCCACTCTCGTTAAACGCGACTTATCTACCGGTTAGCGGCTAACGACTCTTTGAACTCGCGTTGCCCGGAAAATTCCCCCGGAAATACCAAGATCGTTAGCACGCTGCGATGAAAAGTTTGCGACGGGAGAGAAAAAGGGGGAGGAGGAAGCCGAACACGGCTTCGAGAATTACAACCAACGATAAAATCCATCTCGTTCGTCGAAGCCGAGTCGCGTCGATCCAACTTTTTTCTCCCCTCCCCCCCGTTTACACGATTTTTCGCTACTTCCCCTCGACAAAGTTTCCCACCTCCTCTTTGGCTGACCCGCGCCGGCGACTGCTCCTTTGCTTTCGTCGTAAATCGATTCGCGTGTCAACGCGAGTCGACTCGATCTGACGCGATGTCGCGCCGCGTTTCACCTCTCCTTCTTCGTTCCGCGCGAAACTTTCATCGGTTTAGTGCCCGAGTCGACCGAATCGAGGATCTTTCTTCGCCTTGTTTGTCGTTTTTTTTTTTTTTCCTTTCTTTTTTGTTGGAGGTTCACTGTCCACTGGAAGTGTAAACTATAACGTAGTCTATTAGACGTGACAATGTAACTCCTATTAATACAGGGTGTTTCGTAACTTTCGGGAGCTGATTGTACGCCTAAAAATAATGGAAAAGAGTCATATAAATATA